CTGCACCGTTGTCCCACGGTTGCGACGCTGTGCAGCCGACATACTGCAGCGTTGGCGCACCGCGGACTTGCAACGTTGGCAAGCCGCGACTCTGCTCTGCTGGAGCGCGGTCGACAGAGTTGTGCTGGCACGCGGTCGACCGTGCTGCGCTGGCAGTGGACCAGCAAGCCTTGCTAGGTCTGATGTAGTCAGTGTTGCCAATGTTGATGCAATCATTCTGAACTTTTGTTGTTATGTTTTCCTAGTGAAACTCTTGCCGATTTTCCCCGTGAACCAGCAAGCAGTGTTAGCACTTGGAAACGACTACGGAACGAACGAACGCTACGATCACTCTTGCCCCGTGCCTAGCCCATAGTCTAGCTCCCGTTGCATTAGTTATCTCCGCGATTCCATCCCCTTCTCCCAGATTCCATCCCCTTCTCCCAGATTCCATCCCCTTCTCCCAGATTCCATCCCCTTCTCCCAGATTCCATCCCCTTCTCCCAGATTCCATCCCCTTCTCCCAGAATTCATCCCCTTCTCCCATATTCCATCCCCTTCTCCCAAATTCCATCCCCTTCTCCCAGATTCCATCCCCTTCTCCCAGATTCCATCCCCTTCTCCCAGATTCCATCCCCTTCTCCCAGATTCCATCCCCTTCTCCCAGATTCCATCCCCTTCTCCCAGATTCCATCCCCTTCTCCCAGATTCCATCCCCTTCTCCCAGATTCCATCCCCTTCTCCCAGATTCCATCCCCTTCTGCCAAATTCCATCCCCTTCTTCCAAATTCCATCCCCTTTCTCCCAGATTCCATCCCCTTCTCCCTCATGACATCCCCTTCTCACAGATTCCCTCCCCTTCTCACAGATTCCATCCCCTTCTCCCAGATTTCGTCCCCTTCTCCCAGATTCCGTCCCCTTCTCCCAGATTCCATCCCCTTCTCCTAGATTCCATCCCCTTCTCCAAGATTCCATCCCCTTCTCCAAGATTCCATCCCCTTCTCCCAGATTCCATCCCCTTCTCCCAGATTCCATCCCCTTCTCCCAGATTCCATCCCCTTCTCCCAGATTCCATCCCCTTCTCCCAGATTCCATCCCCTTCTCCCAGATTCCATCCCCTTCTCCTTGATTCCATCCCCTTCTCCCAGATTTCATCCCCTTCTCCCATATTCCATCCCCTTCTCCCAGATTCCATCCCCTTCTCCCAGATTCCATCCCCTTCTCCCAGATTCCATCCCCTTCTCCCAGATTCCATCCCCTTCTCCCAGATTCCATCCCCTTCTACCAGATTCCATCCCTTCTCCCAGATTCCATCCCCTTCTCCCTCATTTCATCCCCATCTCCCAGATTCCATCCCCTTCTCCCAGATTCCATCCCCTTCTCCCAGATTCCATCCCCTTCTCCGAGATTCCATCCCCTTCTCCCAGATTCCATCCCCTTCTCCCAGATTCCATCCCCTTCTCCCAGAATCCATCCCCTTCTCCCAGATTCCATCCCCTTCTCCCAGATTCCATCCCCTTCTCCCAGATTCCATCCCCTTCTCCCGGATTCCATCCCCTTCTCCCAGATTCCATCCCCTTCTCCCTGATTCCATCCCCTTCTCACCGATTCCATCCCCTTCTCACCGATTCCATCCCCTTCTCCCAGATTCCATCCCCTTCTACCAGATTCCATCCCTTCTCCCAGATTCCATCCCCTTCTCCCTCATTTCATCCCCATCTCCCAGATTCCATCCCCTTCTCCCAGATTCCATCCCCTTCTCCCAGATTCCATCCCCTTCTCCGAGATTCCATCCCCTTCTCCCAGATTCCATCCCCTTCTCCCAGATTCCATCCCCTTCTCCCAGATTCCATCCCCTTCTCCCGGATTCCATCCCCTTCTCCCAGATTCCATCCCCTTCTCCCAGATTCCATCCCCTTCTCCCAGATTCCATCCCCTTCTCCCAGATTCCATCCCCTTCTCCGATTCCATCCCCTTCTCCCATATTCCATCCCCTTCTGCCAAATTCCATCCCCTTCTTCCAAATTCCATCCCCCTTCTCCCAGATTCCATCCCCTTCTCCCTCATAACATCCCCTTCTCACAGATTCCCTCCCCTTCTCACAGATTCCATCCCCTTCTCCCAGATTCCGTCCCCTTCTCCCAGATTCCGTCCCCTTCTCCCAGATTCCGTCCCCTTCTCCCAGATTCCGTCCCCTTCTCCCAGATTCCATCCCCTTCTCCTAGATTCCATCCCCTTCTCCAAGATTCCATCCCCTTCTCCAAGATTCCATCCCCTTCTCCCAGATTCCATCCCCTTCTCCCAGATTCCATCCCCTTCTCCCAGATTCCATCCCCTTCTCCCAGATTCCATCCCCTTCTCCCAGATTCCATCCCCTTCTCCCAGATTCCATCCCCTTCTCCTAGATTCCATCCCCTTCTCCCAGATTTCATCCCCTTCTCCCATATTCCATCCCCTTCTCCCAGATTCCATCCCCTTCTCCCAGATTCCATCCCCTTCTCCCAGATTCCATCCCCTTCTCCCAGATTCCATCCCCTTCTCCCAGATTCCATCCCCTTCTACCAGATTCCATCCCCTTCTCCCAGATTCCATCCCTTCTCCCAGATTCCATCCCCTTCTCCCTCATTCCATCCCCTTCTGCCAGATTCCATCCCCTTCTCCCAGATTCCATCCCCTTCTCCCAGATTCCATCCCCTTCTCCCAGATTCCATCCCCTTCTCACCGATTCCATCCCCTTCTCACCGATTCCATCCCCTTCTCCCAGATTCCATCCCCTTCTCCCAAATTCCATCCCCTTCTCCCAGATTCCATCCCCTTCTCCCGGATTCCATCCCCTTCTCCCAGATTCCATCCCCTTCTCCCAGATTCCATCCCCTTCTCCCAGATTCCATCCCCTTCTCCCAGATTCCATCCCCTTCTCCCAGATTCCATCCCCTTCTCCCATATTCCATCCCCTTCTGCCAAATTCCATCCCCTTCTTCCAAATTCCATCCCCCTTCTCCCAGATTCCATCCCCTTCTCCCTCATAACATCCCCTTCTCACAGATTCCCTCCCCTTCTCACAGATTCCATCCCCTTCTCCCAGATTCCGTCCCCTTCTCCCAGATTCCGTCCCCTTCTCCCAGATTCCGTCCCCTTCTCCCAGATTCCGTCCCCTTCTCCCAGATTCCATCCCCTTCTCCTAGATTCCATCCCCTTCTCCAAGTTTCCATCCCCTTCTCCAAGATTCCATCCCCTTCTCTCAGATTCCATCCCCTTCTCCCAGATTCCATCCCCTTCTCCCAGATTCCATCCCCTTCTCCCAGATTCCATCCCCTTCTCCCAGATTCCATCCCCTTCTCCCAGATTCCATCCCCTTCTCCTAGATTCCATCCCCTTCTCCCAGATTTCATCCCCTTCTCCCATATTCCATCCCCTTCTCCCAGATTCCATCCCCTTCTCCCAGATTCCATCCCCTTCTCCCAGATTCCATCCCCTTCTCCCAGATTCCATCCCCTTCTCCCAGATTCCATCCCCTTCTACCAGATTCCATCCCCTTCTCCCAGATTCCATCCCTTCTCCCAGATTCCATCCCCTTCTCCCTCATTCCATCCCCTTCTCCCAGATTCCATCCCCTTCTCCCAGATTCCATCCCCTTCTCCCAGATTCCATCCCCTTCTCCCAAATTCCATCCCCTTTTCCCAGATTCCATCCCCTTCTCCTAGATTCCATCCCCTTCTCCCAGATTCCATCCCCTTCTCCCAGATTCAATCCCCTTCTCCCAGATTCCATCCCCTTCTCCTAGATTCCATCCCCTTCTCCCAGATTTCATCCCCTTCTCCCAGATTCCATCCCCTTCTCCCAGACTCCATCCCCTTCTCCCAGATTCCATCCCCTTCTCCCAGATTCCATCCCCTTCTCCCAGATTCCATCCCCTTATCCCCGATTCCATCCCCTTCTCCCAGATTCCATCCCCTTCTGCCAGATTCCATCCCCTTCTCCCAGATTCCATCCCCTTCTCCCAGATTCCATCCCCTTCTCCCATATTCCATCTCCTTCTCCCAGATTCCATCCCCTTCTCCCAGATTCCATCCCCTTCTCCCAAATTCCATCCCCTTCTCTTAGACTCCATCCCCTTCTCCCAGATTCCATCCCCTTCTCCCAGATTCCATCCCCTTCTCCCAGATTCCATCCCCTTCTCCCAGATTCCATCCCCTTCTCCCAGATTCCATCCCCTTCTCCCAAATTCCATCCCCTTCTCCCAGATTCCATCCCCTTCTCCCAGATTCCTTCCCCTTCTCCCTGATTCCATCCCCTTCTCCCTGATTCCATCCCCTTCTCCCAGATTCCATCCCCTTCTCCCAGATTCCATCCCCTTCTCCCAAATTCCATCCCTTCTCCCTGATTCCATCCCCTTCTCCCAGATTCCATCCCCTTCTCCCAGATTCCATCCCCTTCTCCCAGATTCCATCCCCTTCTCCAGATTCCATCCCCTTCTCCAAATTCCATCCCCTTCTCCCAGATTCCATCCCCTTCTCCCAGATTCCATCCCCTTCTCCCAGATTCCATCCCCTTCTCCCAGATTCCATCCCCTTCTCCCAGATTCCATCCCCTTCTCCCAGATTCCTTCCCCTTCTCCCTGATTCCATCCCCTTCTCCCAGATTCCATCCCCTTCTCCCAGATTCCATCCCCTTCTCCCAGATTCCATCCCCTTCTCCCAAAATCCATCCCTTCTCCCTGATTCCATCCCCTTCTCCCAGATTCCATCCCCTTCTCCCAGATTCCATCCCCTTCTCCCAGATTCCATCCCCTTCTCCCAGATTCCATCACCTTCTCCCAGATTCCATCCCCTTCTCCCAGATTCTATCCCCTTCTCCTAGATTCCATCTCCTTCTCCCAGATTTGCCCCCTTCTCCCAGATTCCATCCCCATCTCCCAGATTCCATCCCCTTCTCACTGATTCCATCCCCTTCGCCCAGATTCCATCCACTTCTCCCAGATTCCATCCCCCTATCCCCGATTCCATCCCCTTCTCCCAGATTCAATCCCCTTCTGCCAGATTCCATCCCCTTCTCCCAGATTCCATCCCCTTCTCCCAGATTCCATCCCCTTCTCCCATATTCCATCCCCTTCTCCCAGATTCCATCCCCTTCTCCCAGATTCCATCCCCTTCTCCCCAATTCCATCCCCTTCTCCCTAATTCCATCCCCTTCTCCCTGATTCCATCCCCTTCTCCCAGATTCCATCCCCTTCTCCCAGATTCCATCCCCTTCTCCCTGATTCCATCCCCTCCTCCCATATTCCATCCCCTTCTCCCAAATTCCATCCCCTTCTCCCAGATTCCATCACCTTCTCCCAGATTCCATCCCCTTCTCCCAGATTCTATCCCCTTCTCCCAGATTCCATCTCCTTCTCCCAGATTTGCCCCCTTCTCCCAGATTCCATCCCCTTCTCCCAGATTCCATCCCCTTCTCACTGATTCCATCCCCTTCGCCCAGATTCCATCCACTTCTCCCAGATTCCATCCCCTTATCCCCGATTCCATCCCCTTCTCCCAGATTCCATCCCCTTCTCCCAGATTCCATCCCCTTCTCCCAGATTCCATCCCCTTCTCCCAGATTCCATCCCCTTCTCCCATATTCCATCCCCTTCTCCCTGATTCCATCCCCTTCTCCCAGATTCCATCCCCTTCTCCCCAATTCCATCCCCTTCTCCCTAATTCCATCCCCTTCTCCCTGATTCCATCCCCTTCTCCCAGATTCCATCCCCTTCTCCCAGATTCCATCCCCTTCTCCCTGATTCCATCCCCTCCTCCCATATTCCATCCCCTTCTCCCAAATTCCATCCCCTTCTCCCAGATTCCATCACCTTCTCCCAGATTCCATCCCCTTCTCCCAGATTCTATCCCCTTCTCCCAGATTCCATCTCCTTCTCCCAGATTTGCCCCCTTCTCCCAGATTCCATCCCCTTCTCCCAGATTCCATCCCCTTCTCACTGATTCCATCCCCTTCGCCCAGATTCCATCCACTTCTCCCAGATTCCATCCCCTTATCCCCGATTCCATCCCCTTCTCCCAGATTCCATCCCCTTCTCCCAGATTCCATCCCCTTCTCCCAGATTCCATCCCCTTCTCCCAGATTCCATCCCCTTCTCCCATATTCCATCCCCTTCTCCCAGATTCCATCCCCTTCTCCCAGATTCCATCCCCTTCTCCCAAATTCCATCCCCTTCTCTTAGACCCCATCCCCTTCTCCTAGATTCCATCCCCTTCTCCCAGATTCCATCCCCTTCTCCCAGATTCCATCCCCTTCTCCCAGATTCCATCCCCTTCTCCCAGATTCCATCACCTTCTCCCAGATTCCATCCCCTTCTCCCAGATTCCATCCCCTTCTCCCAGATTCCTTCCCCTTCTCCCTGATTCCATCCCCTTCTCCCAGATTCCATCCCCTTCTCCCAGATTCCATCCCCTTCTCCCAGATTCCATCCCCTTCTCCCAAATTCCATCACCTTCTCCCAGATTCCATCCCCTTCTCCCAGATTCCATCCCCTTCTCCCAGATTCCATCCCCTTCTCCCAGATTCCATCCCCTTCTCACTGATTCCATCCCCTTCGCCCAGATTCCATCCACTTCTCCCAGATTCCATCCCCTTATCCCCGATTCCATCCCCTTCTCCCAGATTCCATCCCCTTCTCCCAGATTCCATCCCCTTCTCCCAGATTCCATCCCCTTCTCCCAGATTCCATCCCCTTCTCCCATATTCCATCCCCTTCTCCCTGATTCCATCCCCTTCTCCCAGATTCCATCCCCTTCTCCCAGATTCCATCCCCTTCTCCCAGATTCCATCACCTTCTCCCAGATTCCATCCCCTTCTCCCAGATTCCATCCCCTTCTCCCAGATTCCATCCCCTTCTCCCAGATTCCATCCCCTTCTCACTGATTCCATCCCCTTCGCCCAGATTCCATCCACTTCTCCCAGATTCCATCCCCTTATCCCCGATTCCATCCCCTTCTCCCAGATTCCATCCCCTTCTCCCAGATTCCATCCCCTTCTCCCAGATTCCATCCCCTTCTCCCAGATTCCATCCCCTTCTCCCATATTCCATCCCCTTCTCCCTGATTCCATCCCCTTCTCCCAGATTCCATCCCCTTCTCCCCAATTCCATCCCCTTCTCCCTAATTCCATCCCCTTCTCCCTGATTCCATCCCCTTCTCCCAGATTCCATCCCCTTCTCCCAGATTCCATCCCCTTCTCCCTGATTCCATCCCCTCCTCCCATATTCCATCCCCTTCTCCCAAATTCCATCCCCTTCTCCCAGATTCCATCACCTTCTCCCAGATTCCATCCCCTTCTCCCAGATTCTATCCCCTTCTCCCAGATTCCATCTCCTTCTCCCAGATTTGCCCCCTTCTCCCAGATTCCATCCCCTTCTCCCAGATTCCATCCCCTTCTCACTGATTCCATCCCCTTCGCCCAGATTCCATCCACTTCTCCCAGATTCCATCCCCTTATCCCCGATTCCATCCCCTTCTCCCAGATTCCATCCCCTTCTCCCAGATTCCATCCCCTTCTCCCAGATTCCATCCCCTTCTCCCAGATTCCATCCCCTTCTCCCATATTCCATCCCCTTCTCCCAGATTCCATCCCCTTCTCCCAGATTCCATCCCCTTCTCCCAAATTCCATCCCCTTCTCTTAGACCCCATCCCCTTCTCCTAGATTCCATCCCCTTCTCCCAGATTCCATCCCCTTCTCCCAGATTCCATCCCCTTCTCCCAGATTCCATCCCCTTCTCCCAGATTCCATCACCTTCTCCCAGATTCCATCCCCTTCTCCCAGATTCCATCCCCTTCTCCCAGATTCCTTCCCCTTCTCCCTGATTCCATCCCCTTCTCCCAGATTCCATCCCCTTCTCCCAGATTCCATCCCCTTCTCCCAGATTCCATCCCCTTCTCCCAAATTCCATCCCTTCTCCCTGATTCCATCCCGTTCTTCCAGATTCCATCCCCTTCTCCCAGATTCCATCCCCTTCTCCCAGATTCCATCCCCTTCTCCAGATTCCATCCCCTTCTCCAAATTCCATCCCCTTCTCCCAGATTCCATCCCCTTCTCCCAGATTCCATCCCCTTCTCCCATATTCCATCCCCTTCTCCCAGATTCCATCCCCTTCTCCCTGATTCCATCCCCTTCTCCCCAATTCCATCCCCTTCTCCCTAATTCCATCCCCTTCTCCCTGATTCCATCCCTTCTCCCAGATTCCATCCCCTTCTCCCAGATTCCATCCCCTTCTCCCTGATTCCATCCCCTCCTCCCATATTCCATCCCCTTCTCACAGATTCCATCCCCTTCTCCCAGATTCCATCACCTTCTCCCAGATTCCATCCCCTTCTCCCAGATTCTATCCCCTTCTCCCAAATTCCATCTCCTTCTCCCAGATTTGCCCCCTTCTCCCAGATTCCATCCCCTTCTCCCAGATTCCATCCCCTTCTCACTGATTCCATCCCCTTCGCCCAGATTCCATCCACTTCTCCCAGATTCCATCCCCTTATCCCTGATTCCATCCCCTTCTCCCAGATTCCATCCCCTTCTGCCAGATTCCATCCCCTTCTCCCAGATTCCATCCCCTTCTCCCAGATTCCATCCCCTTCTCCCATATTCCATCCCCTTCTCCCAGATTCCATCCCCTTCTCCCAGATTCCATCCCCTTCTCCCAAATTCCATCCCCTTCTCTTAGACTCCATCCCTTTCTCCCAGATTCCATCCCCTTCTCCCAGATTCCATCCCCTTCTCCCAGATTCCATCCCCTTCTCCCAGATTCCATCCCCTTCTCCCAGATTCCATCCCCTTCTCCCAGATTCCATCCCCTTCTCCCAGATTCCTTCCCCTTCTCCCAGATTCCATCCCCTTCTCCCAGATTCCATCCCCTTCTCCCAGATTCCATCCCCTTCTCCAGATTCCATCCCCTTCTCCAAATTCCATCCCCTTCTCCCAGATTCCATCCCCTTCTCCCAGATTCCATCCCCTTCTCCCAGATTCCATCCCCTTCTCCCAGATTCCATCCCCTTCTCCCAGATTCCATCCCCTTCTCCCAGATTCCTTCCCCTTCTCCCTGATTCCATCCCCTTCTCCCAGATTCCATCCCCTTCTCCCAGATTCCATCCCCTTCTCCCATATTCCATCCCCTTCTCCCAAATTCCATCCCTTCTCCCTGATTCCATCCCCTTCTCCTAGATTCCATCCCCTTCTCCCAGATTCCATCCCCTTCTCCCAGATTCCATCCCCTTCTGCAGATTCCATCCCCTTCTCCCATATTCCATCCCCTTCTCTCAGAATCCATTCCCTTCTCCCAGATTCCATCCCCTTCTCCCAGATTCCACCCCCTTCTCCCACATTCCATCCCCTTCTCCCAGATTCCCTTCTCCCAGATTCCATCACCTTCTCCCAGATTCCATCCCCTTCTCCCAGATTCCATCTCCTTCTCCCAGATTCCACCCCCTTCTCCCAGATTCCATCACCTTCTCTCAGATTCCATCCCCTTCTCGCAGATTCCATCCCTTTCTCCCCGATTCCATCCCCTTCTCCCTAATTCCATCCCCTTCTCCCTGAATCCATCCCCTTCTCCCATATTTCATCCCCTTCTCCCAGATTCCATCACCTTCTCCCAGATTCCATCCCCTTCTCCCAGATTCTATCCCCTTCTCCCTGATTCCATCTTCTTCTCCCAGATTTGCCCCCTTCTCCCAGATTCCATCCCCTTCTCCCATATTCCATCCCCTTCTCCCAGATTCCATCCCCTTCTCCCAGATTCCATCCACTTCTCCCAAATTCCATCCCTTCTCCCTGATTCCATCCCCTTCTCCCAGATTCCATCCCCTTCTCCCAGATTCCATCCCCTTCTACCAGATTCCATCCCCTTCTCCCAGATTCCATCCCCTTCTCCAAATTCCATCCCCTTCTCCCAGATTCCATCCCCTTCCCCCAGATTCCATCCCCTTCTCCCAGATTCCATCCCCTTCTCCTTGATTCCATCCCCTTCTCCCAGATTCCATCCCCTTCTCCCAGATTCCATCCCCTTCTCCCAGATTCCATCCCCTTCTCCCAGATTCCATCCCCTTCTCCCAGATTCTATCCCATTCTCCCAGATTCCATCTCCTTCTCCCAGATTCCACCCCCTTCTCCTAGATTCCATCCCCTTCTCCTAGATTCCATCCCCTTCTCCCAGATCCCACCCCCTTCTCACTGATTCCATCCCCTTCTCCCAGATTCCATCCACTTCTCACGGATTCCATCCCCTTCTCCCCAATTCCATCCCCTTCTCCCAGATTCCATCCCCTTCTCCCAGATTCCATCCCCTTCTCCCAGACTCCATCCCCCTCTCCCAGAATCTATCCCCTTCTCCCTGATTCCATCCCCTTCTTACAAATTTCATCCCCTTCTCCCAGATTCGACCCCCTTCTCCCAGATTCCATCCCCTCTTCCCAGATTCCATCCCCTTCTCCCAGATTCCATCCCCTTCTCCCCGATTCCATCCCCTTCTCCCCGATTCCATCCCCTTCTCCCTGATTCCATCCCCTTCTCCCTGATTCAATCCCCTTCTCCCAGATTCCATCCCCCTCTCCCCCTGATTCCATTCCCTTCTCCCAGATTCCATCCCCTTCTCCCAAATTTCATCCCCTTCTCCCAGATTCCACCCCCTTCTCCCATATTCCATCCCCTTCTCTCAGATTCCATCCCCTTCTCCCAGATTCCATCCCCTTCTCCCAGATTCCATCCCCTTCTCCCAGATTCCATCCCCTTCTCCCAGATTCCATCCCCTTCTCCCAGATTTCATCCCCTTCTCCCAAATTCCATCCCCTTCTCCCAGATTCCATCTCCTTCTCCCAGATTCCACCCCCTTCTCCCAGATTCCATCCCCTTCTCCCAGATTCCATCACCTTCTCTCAGATTCCATCCCCTTCTCGCAGATTCCATCCCTTTCTCCCCAATTCCATCCCCTTCTCCCTAATTCCATCCCCTTCTCCTTGATTCCATCCCCTTCTCCCATATTTCATCCCCTTCTCCCAGATTCCATCCCCTTCTCCCAGATTCCATCCCCTTCTCCCAGATTCGATCCCCTTCTCCCAGATTCAATCCCCTTCTCCCCGATTCCATCCCCTTCTCCCAGATTCCACCCCCTTCTCCCACATTCCATCCCCTTCTCCCAGATTCCCTTCTCCCAGATTCCATCACCTTCTCCCAGATTCCATCCCCCTGTCCCAGATTCCATCTCCTTCTCCCAGATTCCACCCCCTTCTCCCAGATTCCATCCCCTTCTCCCAGATTCCATCACCTTCTCTCAAATTCCATCCCCTTCTCGCAGATTCCATCCCCTTCTCCCCAATTCCATCCCCTTCTCCCTAATTCCATCCCCTTCTCCCTGATTCCATCCCCTTCTCCCAGATTCCATTCCTTTCTCCCAGATTCCATCCCCTTCTCCCTGATTCCATCCCCTCCTCCCATATTCCATCCCCTTCTCCCAGATTCCATCCCCTTCTCCCAGATTCCATCACCTTCTCCCAGATTCCATCCCCTTCTCCCAGATTCTATCCCCTTCTCCTAGATTCCATCTCCTTCTCCCAGATTTGCCCCCTTCTCCCAGATTCCATCCCCTTCTCCCAGATTCCATCCCCTTCTCACTGATTCCATCCCCTTCGCCTAGATTCCATCCACTTCTCCCAGATTCCATCCCCTTATCCCCGATTCCATCCCCTTCTCCCAGATTCCATCCCCTTCTGCCAGATTCCATCCCCTTCTCCCAGATTCCATCCCCTTCTCCCAGATTCCATCCCCTTCTCCCATATTCCATCCCCTTCTCCCAGATTCCATCCCCTTCTCCCAGATTCCATCCCCTTCTCCCAAATTCCATCCCCTTCTCCCAGATTCCATCCCCTTCTCCCAGATTCCATCCCCTTTTCCCTGATTCAATCCCCTTCTCCCAGATTCCATCCCCCTCTCCCCCTGATTCCATTCCCTTCTCCCAGATTCCATCCCCTTCTCCCAAATTTCATCCCCTTCTCCCAGATTCCACCCCCTTCTCCCATATTCCATCCCCTTCTCCCAGATTCCATCCCCTTCTCCCAGATTCCATCCCCTTCTCCCAGATTCCATCCCCTTCTCCCAGATTCCATCCCCTTCTCCCAGATTCCATCCCCTTCTCCCAGATTTCATCCCCTTCTCCCAAATTCCATCCCCTTCTCCCAGATTCCATCTCCTTCTCCCAGATTCCACCCCCTTCTCCCAGATTCCATCCCCTTCTCCCAGATTCCATCACCTTCTCTCAGATTCCATCCCCTTCTCGCATATTCCATCCCTTTCTCCCCAATTCCATCCCCTACCCCTAATTCCATCCCCTTCTCCTTGATTCCATCCCCTTCTCCCATATTTCATCCCCTTCTCCCAGATTCCATCCCCTTCTCCCAGATTCCATCCCCTTCTCCCAGATTCCATCCCCTTCTCCCATATTCCATCCCCTTCTCCCAGATTCCATCCCCTTCTCCCAGATTCCATCCCCTTCTCCCAAATTCCATCCCCTTCTCTTAGACTCCATCCCCTTCTCCCAGAATCCATCCCCTTCTCCCAGATTCCATCCCCTTCTCCCAGATTCCATCCCCTTCTCCCAGATTCCATCCCCTTCTCCCAGATTCCATCCCCTTCTCAAAGATTCCATCCCCTTCTCCCAGATTCCATACCCTTCGCCCAGATTCCATCCACTTCTCCCAGATTCCATCCCCTTCTCCCAGATTCCATCACCTTCTCCCAGATTCCATCCCCTTCTCCCAGATTCCATCCCCTTGTCCCAGATTCCATCCCCTTCTCCCAGATTCCATCACCTTCTCTCAGATTCCATCCCCTTCTCGCAGATTCCATCCCCTTCTCCCCAATTCCATCCCCTTCTCCCTAATTCCATCCCCTTCTCCCTGATTCCATCCCCTTCTCCCAGATTCCATCCCCTTCTCCCAGATTCCATCACCTTCTCTCAGATTCCATCCCCTTCTCGCAGATTCCATCCCCTTCTCCCCAATTCCATCCCCTTCTCCCTAATTCCATCCCCTTCTCCCTGATTCCATCCCCTTCTCCCAGATTCCATCCCCTTCTCCCACATTCCATCCCCTTCTCCCACATTCCATCCCCTTCTCCCCGATTCCATCCCCTTCTTCCCGATTCCATCCCCTTCTCCCTGATTCCATCCCCTTCTCCCAGATTCAATCCCCTTCTCCCAGATTCCATCCCCCTCTCCCCCTGATTCCATTCCCTTCTCCCAGATTCCACATCCTTCTCCCATATTCCATCCCCTTCTCCCAGATTCCATCCCCTTCTCCCAGATTCCATCCCCTTCTCTCAGATTCCATCCCCTTCTCCCAGATTCCATCCCCTTCTCCCAGATTTCATCCCCTTCTCCCAAATTCCATCCCCTTCTCCCAGATTCCATCTCCTTCTCCCAGATTCCACCCCCTTCTCCCAGATTCCATCCCCTTCTCCCAGATTCCATCCCCTTCTACCAGATTCCATCCCCTTCTCCCAGATTCCATCCCCTTCTCCCAGATTCCATCCCCTTCTCCCAGATTCCACCACCTTCTCCCACATTCCATCCCCTTCTCCCAGATTCCCTTCTCCCAGATTCCATCACCTTCTCCCAGATTCCATCCCCTTCTCCTAGATTCCATCCCCTTGTCCCAGATTCCATCTCCTTCTCCCAGATTCCACCCCCTTCTCCCAGATTCCATCCCCTTCTCCCAGATTCCATCACCTTCTCTCAGATTCCATCCCCTTCTCGCAGATTCCATCCCCTTCTCCCCAATTCCATCCCCTTCTCCCTAATTCCATCCCCTTCTCCCTGATTCCATCCCCTTCTCCCAGATTCCATCCCCTTCTCCCAGATTCCATCCTCTTCTCCCTGATTCCATCCCCTCCTCCCATATTCCATCCCCTTCTCCCAGATTCCATCCCCTTCTCCCAGATTCCATCACCTTCTCCCAGATTCCATCCCCTTCTCCCAGATTCTATCCCCTTCTCCCAGATTCCATCTCCTTCTCCCAGATTTGCCCCCTTCTCCCAGATTCCATCCCCTTCTCCCAGATTCCATCCCCTTCTCACTGATTCCATCCCCTTCGCCCATATTCCATCCACTTCTCCCAGATTCCATCCCCTTATACCCGATTCCATCCTCTTTTCCCAGATTCCATCCCCCTCTGCCAGATTCCATCCCCTTCTCCCAGATTCCATCCCCTTCTCCCAGATTCCATCCCCTTCTCCCATATTCCATCCCCTTCTCCCAGATTCCATCCCCTTCTCCCAGATTCCATCCCCTTCTCCCAAATTCCATCCCCTTCTCTTAGACTCCATCCCCTTCTCCCAGAATCCATCCCCTTCTCCCAGATTCCATCCCCTTCTCCCAGATTCCATCCCCTTCTCCCAGATTCCATCCCCTTCTCCCAGATTCCATCCCCTTCTCAAAGATTCCATCCCCTTCTCCCAGATTCCATCCCCTTCGCCCAGATTCCATCCACTTCTCCCAGATTCCATCCCCTTCTCCCAGATTCCATCCCCTTCTCCCAGATTCCATCCCCTTCTCCCAGATTCCATCCCCTTCTCCCAGATTCTATCCCCTTCTCCCAAATTCCATCCCTTCTCCCTGATTCCATCCCCTTCTCCCAGATTCCATCCCCTTCTCCCTGATTCCATCCCCTTCTCCAAGATTCCATCCCCTTCTCCCGATTCCATCCCCTTCTCCAAATTCCATCCCCTTCTCCCAGATTCCATCCCCTTCCCCCAGATTCCATCCCCTTCTCCCAGATTCCATCCCCTTCTCCCAGATTTCATCCCCTTCTCCCAAATTCCATCCCCTTCTCCCAGATTCCATCTCCTTCTCCCAGATTCCACCCCCTTCTCCCAGATTCCATCCCCTTCTCCCAGATTCCATCCCCTTCTACCAGATTCCATCCCCTTCTCCCAGATTCCATCCCCTTCTCCCAGATTCCATCCCCTTCTCCCAGATTCCACCCCCTTCTCCCACATTCCATCCCCTTCTCCCAGATTCCCTTCTCCTAGATTCCATCACCTTCTCCCAGATTCCATCCCCTTCTCCCAGATTCCATCCCCTTGTCCCAGATTCCATCTCCTTCTCCCAGATTCCACCCCCTTCTCCCAGATTCCATCCCCTTCTCCCAGATTCCATCACCTTCTCTCAGATTCCATCCCCTTCTCGCAGATTCCATCCCCTTCTCCCCAATTCCATCCCCTTCTCCCTAATTCCATCCCCTTCTCCCTGATTCCATCCCCTTCTCCCAGATTCCATCCCCTTCTCCCAGATTCCATCCTCTTCTCCCTGATTCCATCCCCTCCTCCCATATTCCATCCCCTTCTCCCAGATTCCATCCCCTTCTCCCAGATTCCATCACCTTCTCCCAGATTCCATCCCCTTCTCCCAGATTCTATCCCCTTCTCCCAGATTCCATCTCCTTCTCCCAGATTTGCCCCCTTCTCCCAGATTCCATCCCCTTCTCCCAGATTCCATCCCCTTCTCACTGATTCCATCCCCTTCGCCCATATTCCATCCACTTCTCCCAGATTCCATCCCCTTATCCCCGATTCCATCCTCTTTTCCCAGATTCCATCCCCCTCTGCCAGATTCCATCCCCTTCTCCCAGATTCCATCCCCTTCTCCCAGATTCCATCCCCTTCTCCCATATTCCATCCCCTTCTCCCAGATTCCATCCCCTTCTCCCATATTCCATCCCCTTCTCCCAAATTCCATCCCCTTCTCTTAGACTCCATCCCCTTCTCCCAGAATCCATCCCCTTCTCCCAGATTCCATCCCCTTCTCCCAGATTCCATCCCCTTCTCCCAGATTCCATCCCCTTCTCCCAGATTCCATCCCCTTCTCAAAGATTCCATCCCCTTCTCCCAGATTCCATCCCCTTCGCCCAGATTCCATCCACTTCTCCCAGATTCCATCCCCTTCTCCCAGATTCCATCCCCTTCTCCCAGATTCCATCCCCTTCTCCCAGATTCCATCCCCTTCTCCCAGATTCTATCCCCTTCTCCCAAATTCCATCCCTTCTCCCTGATTCCATCCCCTTCTCCCAGATTCCATCCCCTTCTCCCTGATTCCATCCCCTTCTCCAAGATTCCATCCCCTTCTCCAGATTCCATCCCCTTCTCCAAATTCCATCCCCTTCTCCCAGATTCCATCCCCTTCCCCCAGATTCCATCCCCTTCTCCAAGATTCCATCCCCTTCTCCCAGATTTCATCCCCTTCTCCCAAATTCCATCCCCTTCTCCCAGATTCCATCTCCTTCTCCCAGATTCCACCCCCTTCTCCCAGATTCCATCCCCTTCTCCCAGATTCCATCCCCTTCTACCAGATTCCATCCCCTTCTCCCAGATTCCATCCCCTTCTCCCAGATTCCATCCCCTTCTCCCAGATTCCACCCCCTTCTCCCACATTCCATCCCCTTCTCCCAGATTCCCTTCTCCCAGATTCCATCACCTTCTCCCAGATTCCATCCCCTTCTCCCAGATTCCATCCCCTTGTCCCAGATTCCATCTCCTTCTCCCAGATTCCACCCCCTTCTCCCAGATTCCATCCCCTTCTCCCAGATTCCATCACCTTCTCTCAGATTCCATCCCCTTCTCGCAGATTCCATCCCCTTCTCCCCAATTCCATCCCCTTCTCCCTAATTCCATCCCCTTCTCCCTGATTCCATCCCCTTCTCCCAGATTCCATCCCCTTCTCCCAGATTCCATCCCCTTCTCCCAGATTCCATCCCCTTCTCCCATATTCCATCCCCTTCTCCCAGATTCCATCCCCTTCTCCCATATTCCATCCCCTTCTCCCAAATTCCATCCCCTTCTCTTAGACTCCATCCCCTTCTCCCAGAATCCATCCCCTTCTCCCAGATTCCATCCCCTTCTCCCAGATTCCATCCCCTTCTCCCAGATTCCATCCCCTTCTCCCAGATTCCATCCCCTTCTCAAAGATTCCATCCCCTTCTCCCAGATTCCATCCCCTTCGCCCAGATTCCATCCACTTCTCCCAGATTCCATCCCCTTCTCCCAGATTCCATCCCCTTCTCCCAGATTCCATCCCCTTCTTCCAGATTCCATCCCCTTCTCCCAGATTCTATCCCCTTCTCCCAAATTCCATCCCTTCTCCCTGATTCCATCCCCTTCTCCCAGATTCCATCCCCTTCTCCCTGATTCCATCCCCTTCTCCAAGATTCCATCCCCTTCTCCAGATTCCATCCCCTTCTCCAAATTCCATCCCCTTCTCCCAGATTCCATCCCCTTCCCCCAGATTCCATCCCCTTCTCCAAGATTCCATCCCCTTCTCCCAGATTTCATCCCCTTCTCCCAAATTCCATCCCCTTCTCCCAGATTCCATCCCCTTCTCCCAGATTCCACCCCCTTCTCCCAGATTCCATCCCCTTCTCCCAGATTCCATCCCCTTCTACCAGATTCCATCCCCTTCTCCCAGATTCCATCCCCTTCTCCCAGATTCCATCCCCTTCTCCCAGATTCCACCCCCTTCTCCCACATTCCATCCCCTTCTCCCAGATTCCCTTCTCCCAGATTCCATCACCTTCTCCCAGATTCCATCCCCTTCTCCCAGATTCCATCCCCTTGTCCCAGATTCCATCTCCTTCTCCCAGATTCCACCCCCTTCTCCCAGATTCCATCCCCTTCTCCCAGATTCCATCACCTTCTCTCAGATTCCATCCCCTTCTCGCAGATTCCATCCCCTTCTCCCCAATTCCATCCCCTTCTCCCTAATTCCATCCCCTTCTCCCTGATTCCATCCCCTTCTCCCAGATTCCATCCCCTTCTCCCAGATTCCATCCCCTTCTCCCAAATTCCATCCCCTTCTCTTAGACTCCATCCCCTTCTCCCAGAATCCATCCCCTTCTCCCAGATTCCATCCCCTTCGCCCAGATTCCATCCACTTCTCCCAGATTCAATCCCCTTCTCCCAGATTCCATCCCCTTCTCCCAGATTCCATCCCCTTCTCCCAGATTCCATCCCCTTCTCCCAGATTCTATCCCCTTCTCCCAAATTCCATCCCTTCTCCCTGATTCCATCCCCTTCTCCCAGATTCCATCCCCTTCTCCCTGATTCCATCCCCTTCTCCAAGATTCCATCCCCTTCTCCAGATTCCATCCCCTTCTCCAAATTCCATCCCCTTCTCCCAGATTCCATCCCCTTCCCCCAGATTCCATCCCCTTCTCCCAGATTCCATCCCCTTCTCCAAGATTCCATCCCCTTCTCCCAGATTCCATCCCCTTCTCCCAGATTCCATCCCCTTCTCCCAGATTCCATCCCCTTCTCCCAAATTCCATCCCCTTCTCCCATATTCTATCCCATTCTCCCTGATTCCATCTCCTTCTCCCAGATTCCACCCCCTTCTCCTAGATTCCATCCCCTTCTCCTAGATTCCATCCCCTTCTCCCAGATCCCACCCCCTTCTCACTGATTCCATCCCCTTCTCCCAGATTCCATCCACTTCTCACGGATTCCATCCCCTTCTCCCCAATTCCATCCCCTTCTCCCAGATTCCATCCCCTTCTCCCAGATTCCACCCCCTTCTCCCAGATTCCATCCCCTCTTCCCAGATTCCATCCCCTTCTCCCAGATTCCATCCCCTTCTCCCCGATTCCATCCCCTTCTCCCCGATTCCATCCCCTTCTCCCTGATTCCATCCCCTTCTCCCTGATTCAATCCCCTTCTCCCAGATTCCATCCCCCTCTCCCCCAAATTCCATTCCCTTCTCCCAGATTCCATCCCCTTCTCCCAAATTTCATTCCCTTCTCCCAGATTCCACCCCCTTCTCCCATATTCCATCCCCTTCTCCCAGATTCCATCCCCTTCTCCCAGATTCCATCCCCTTCTCCCAGATTCCATCCCCTTCTCCCAGATTCCATCCCCTTCTCCCAGATTTCATCCCCTTCTCCCAAATTCCATCCCCTTCTCCCAGATTCCATCTCCTTCTCCCAGATTCCACCCCCTTCTCCCAGATTCCATCCCCTTCTCCCAGATTCCATCACCTTCTCTCAGATTCCATCCCCTTCTCGCAGATTCCATCCCTTTCTCCCCAATTCCATCCCCTTCTCCCTAATTCCATCCCCTTCTCCTTGATTCCATCCCCTTCTCCCATATTTCATCCCCTTCTCCCAGATTCCATCCCCTTCTCCCAGATTCCATCCCCTTCTCCCAGATTCCATCCCCTTCTCCCAGATTCCATCCCCTTCTCCCAGATTCCATCCCCTTCTCCCAGATTCCACCCCCTTCTCCCACATTCCATCCCCTTCTCCCAGATTCCCTTCTCCCAGATTCCATCACCTTCTCCCAGATTCCATCCCCTTCTCCCAGATTCCATCCCCCTGTCCCAGATTCCATCTCCTTCTCCCAGATTCCACCCCCTTCTCCCAGATTCCATCCCCTTCTCCCAGATTCCATCACCTTCTCTCAGATTCCATCCCCTTCTCGCAGATTCCATCCGCTTCTCCCCAATTCCATCCCCTTCTCCCTAATTCCATCCCCTTCTCCCTGATTCCATCCCCTTCTCCCAGATTCCATCCCTTTCTCCCAAATTCCATCCCCTTCTCCCTGATTCCATCCCCTCCTCCCATATTCCATCCCCTTCTCCCAGATTCCATCCCCTTCTCCCAGATTCCATCACCTTCTCCCAGATTCCATCCCCTTCTCCCAGATTCTATCCCCTTCTCCCAGATTCCATCTCCTTCTCCGAGATTTGCCCCCTTCTCCCAGATTCCATCCCCTTCTCCCAGATTCCATCCCCTTCTCACTGATTCCATCCCCTTCGCCCAGATTCCATCCACTTCTCCCAGATTCCATCCCCTTATCCCCGATTCCATCCCCTTCTCCCAGATTCCATCCCCTTCTGCCAGATTCCATCCCCTTCTCCCAGATTCCATCCCCTTCTCCCAGATTCCATCCCCTTCTCCCATATTCCATCCCCTTCTCCCAGATTCCATCCCCTTCTCCCAGATTCCATCCCCTTCTCCCAAATTCCATCCCCTTCTCTTAGACTCCATCCCCTTCTCCCAGAATCCATCCCCTTCTCCCAGATTCCATCCCCTTCTCCCAGATTCCATCCCCTTCTCCAGATTCCATCCCCTTCTCCAGATTCCATCCCCTTCTCCCAGATTCCATCCACTTCTCACGGATTCCATCCCCTTCTCCCCAATTCCATCCCCTTCTCCCAGATTCCATCCCCTTCTCCTAGATTCCATCCCCTTCTCCCAGATTCCATCCCCCTCTCCCAGAATCTATCCCCTTCTCCCTGATTCCATCCCCTTCTTACAAATTTCATCCCCTTCTCCCAGATTCCACCCCCTTCTCCCAGATTCCATCCCCTCTTCCCAGATTCCATCCCCTTCTCCCAGATTCCATCCCCTTCTCCCCGATTCCATCCCCTTCTCCCCGATTCCATCCCCTTCTCCCTGATTCCATCCCCTTCTCCCTGATTCAATCCCCTTCTCCCAGATTCCATCCCCCTCTCCCCTGATTCCATTCCCTTCTCCCAGATTCCATCCCCTTCTCCCAAATTTCATCCCCTTCTCCCAGATTCCACCCCCTTCTCCCATATTCCATCCCCTTCTCCCAGATTCCATCCCCTTCTCCCAGATTCCATCCCCTTCTCCCAGATTCCATCCCCTTCTCCCAGATTCCATCCCCTTCTCCCAGATTCAATCCCCTTCTCCCAGATTTCATCCCCTTCTCCCAAATTCCATCCCCTTCTCCCAGATTCCATCTCCTTCTCCCAGATTCCACCCCCTTCTCCCAGATTCCATCCCCTTCTCCCAGATTCCATCACCTTCTCTCAGATTCCATCCCCTTCTCGCAGATTCCATCCCTTTCTCCCCAATTCCATCCCGTTCTCCCTAATTCCATCCCCTTCTCCTTGATTCCATCCCCTTCTCCCATATTTCATCCCCTTCTCCCAGATTCCATCCCCTTCTCCCAGATTCCATCCCCTTCTCCCAGATTCCATCCCCTTCTCCCAGATTCCATCCCCTTCTCCCCAATTCCATCCCCTTCTCCCAGATTCCACCCCCTTCTCCCACATTCCATCCCCTTCTCCCAGATTCCCTTCTCCCAGATTCCATCACCTTCTCCCAGATTCCATCCCCTTCTCCCAGATTCCATCCCCCTGTCCCAGATTCCATCTCCTTCTCCCAGATTCCACCCCCTTCTCCCAGATTCCATCCCCTTCTCCCAGATTCCATCACCTTCTCTCAGATTCAATCCCCTTCTCGCAGATTCCATCCCCTTCTCCCCAATTCCATCCCCTTCTCCCTAATTCCATCCCCTTCTCCCTGATTCCATCCCCTTCTCGCAGATTCCATCCCTTTCTCCCAGATTCCATCCCCTTCTCCCTGATTCCATCCCCTCCTCCCATATTCCATCCCCTTCTCCCAGATTCCATCCCCTTCTCCCAGATTCCATCACCTTCTCCCAGATTCCATCCCCTTCAACCAGATTCTATCCCCTTCTCCCAGATTCCATCTCCTTCTCCCAGATTTGCCCCCTTCTCCCAGATTCCATCCCCTTCTCCCAGATTCCATCCCCTTCTCACTGATTCCATCCCCTTCGCCCAGATTCCATCCACTTCTCCCAGATTCCATCCCCTTATCCCCGATTCCATCCCCTTCTCCCAGATTCCATCCCCTTCTGCCAGATTCCATCCCCTTCTCCCAGATTCCATCCCCTTCTCCCAGATTCCATCCCCTTCTCCCATATTCCATCCCCTTCTCCCAGATTCCATCCCCTTCTCCCAGATTCCATCCCCTTCTCCCAAATTCCATCCCCTTCTCTTAGACTCCATCCCCTTCTCCCAGAATCCATCCCCTTCTCCTAGATTCCATCCCCTTCTCCCAGATTCCATCCCCTTCTCCAGATTCCATCCCCTTCTCCAGATTCCATCCCCTTCTCCCAGATTCCATCCCCTTCTCCCAGATTCCATCCCCTTCTCCCAGATTCCATCACCTTCTCCCAGATTCCTTCCCCTTCTCCTGATTCCATCCCCTTCTCCCAGATTCCATCCCCTTCTCCCAGATTCCATCCCCTTCTCCCATATTCCATCCCCTTCTCCCAGATTCCATCCCCTTCTCCCAGATTCCATCCCCTTCTCCCAAATTCCATCCCCTTCTCTTAGACTCCATCCCCTTCTCCGAGAATCCATCCCCTTCTCCCAGATTCCATCCCCTTCTCTCCCAGATTCCATCCCCTTCTCCAGATTCCATCCCCTTCTCCAGATTCCATCCCCTTCTCCCAGATTCCATCCACTTCTCACGGATTCCATCCCCTTCTCCCCAATTCCATCCCCTTCTCCCAGATTCCATCCCCTTCTCCCAGATTCCATCCCCTTCTCCCTGATTCCATCCCCCTCTCCCAGAATCTATCCCCTTCTCCCTGATTCCATCCCCTTCTT